TGACAATGAATCATGCCCTTCATCCACGCAGTGACATTGATAGACTTTATCTACCAAGGCAAATAGGTGGGCGTGGAATGCTACAAGTACATCAGATGGTTGAAGAAGAAAAAATGGCTTTGGAAGAATATCTGAAGAACAATGATGAAGATGCACTGAAATTAGTATATCAGGAAGGCTTACTAACTACTGGAGAGACCAAACTGGCCTACAAGAAAGACCAAATGAAGAACAGAATAGAGGCATGGGAAGACAAAGCACTACATGGCCAATACATGAAAAAAATAGCTGGGAAAGCAGATAATAATAAAACCTGGCAATGGCTAAGTGCAGGAAAATTGAAGAAAGAGACCGAGGGACGATACCTGTAATACCATCAAACATCCACATCTGCCATCAAACATCCACATCTGCCTATCCCAGGTCCTGGGTAAGGACTCGATAGGTAGACAAAATGCCAAATCCAGTCTGAACATCTGGCTGACTGTGTGATGATCCATAATAATAATACTCAGGCAGGAAACTCTATACCATTTCAGACAAATGGCTGTCCAGTCTCTTCTTAAAAACTTCCAGTGTTGGAGCATTCACCACTTCTGGAGGCAGGTTGTTCCACTGGTTAATTGCTCTAACTTTCAGGAAGTTTCTCCTTAGTTCTAGGTTTCTTCTCTCTTTGATTAGTTTCCATCCATTGCTTCTTTCAGGTGCCTTGGAAAATAGCTTGACTCCCTCTTCTTTGTGGCAGCTCCTGAGTATTGGAACACTGCTATCATGTCTCCCCTCATCCTTCTCTTCATTAAACTAGACATACCCAATTCCAGCAGCCTTTCCTTATATGCTTTAGCCTCCAGTCCCCTAATCATCTTTGTTGCTTTTCTCTGTACTCTTTCTAGAGTCTCAACATCTTTTTTTACATTGTGGTGACCAAAACTGGATGCAGTAGTCCAAGTGTGGCCTTATCAAGGCATTGTAAAGTGGTATTAATACTTCATGTGATCTTGATTCTATCCCCCTGTTAATGCAGCCCAGCACTTCGTTTGCCTTTTTGGCAGCTGCAGCACACTGCTGGCTCATATTTAAGTGATTGTCCACTAGGACTCCGAGGTCCCTCTCACAGTTACTACTATTGAGCAAGGTACCCCTAAACTATACCTGTACATTTGGTATTTCTTGCTTAAATGTAGAACCTTACTTTTTTCACCACTGAATTTCATTTTTTTTTAGATAGCGCCCAGTGTTCAAGTCTGTCCAGATCCTTCTGTATCCTAAGCCTGTCTTCTGGAGTGTTGGCTATTCCTACCAGCTTGGTGTTGTCTGCAAATTTGATCATTACCTCATCTATCCCCTTGTCCAAATCGTTGATGAAGATGTTGAATAGCACTGGGCCCAGAACAGAGCCCTGGGGCACCCCACTACACACTTCCCTCCATTTAGATGTGGTTCCATTGAGGACCACATGCTGAGTACGGCCGGTCAATCAGCTACGGATCCATCTGGTGGTGATGCTGTCTAACCCACATTTTCCTATCTTATCAAGTAGTAGGTCTACTTTATCAAATGCCTTACTGTCTGCCTTTATCTTTGTTTACTATATAATTAATTATATTTTTGATGGATCCTGGGTTGGACAATCAAACTGGAATAATAGAGTCTTGTTGGGACTCTCCAATAATCCACAGATACAGGATTTTCTCCTTTTTGTTTTCATGATCATTTTTGGTCACCATCCTAGGAAATATAACTGTTATATTAATGATCAATTCTGGGCATCACCTTCAGATGGCCGTGTTCCTCTTACTCAGATATTTAGCTTTAGTCCCCAAGATGTTGGCAAACTTCCTAATGAAGCAGAAAACCATATCCTGGGAAGGATGTATTTCACAGATCTTCTTCCTTTTGCAAATAGCTTGTACAAAAAGTTTTATTCTCTCAGCAATGGATTATGACCGATATGTGGCTATATGTGACCCCCTGCAGTATAGAAGATACTTGACAAGAAAGATATGTAATAAAATGGTGGGTACAGCTTGGCTCCTGGGATTCTTTTTTTCTATAGTGAATGTGCTACCTTTGCTAAATCTCTATTTTTGCAACAACATATAATCAGACACTATACTTGTGAGATTCTTTCCCTCTTGACCTTGTCTTGTACAGATACTCTCACTAATTACATCATTCTTCTTATATCTGTGTTAGCAGTCAGTCTTAGCTCCTTTCTTATCATTCTTATCTCTTACATTTATATTATTTCTACCATCCTGAAAATTAATTCAGAGAAGGCTGGCAAAAAGCTTTCTCTATATGCAGTTCCCATCTCATTATGGTATGCTTGTATTACTTTACAGGTTTAGTTTGTTACATGAAGCCAAGTCCAAAATCCCTCATGGATCTAGACAACATACTGTCTATGTGTTGGGTGGAGCATCCAGTTTACCAAATATAAAGCAATCTGTTCTTTGTTTCACTCCAGTCTATACTGTCTATTCAGTATAGCATTTTAACTCCTATGTTAAATCCCATCATATATAACCTGAAAAACAAAGAGATCTTATCTGGTGCAGAGAAACTATTTAGATAGCATAGGCTCAGCTTTAAGTATGAAGCAATATAGTTAATGGCACAGTGGGGATGTGGACTGCTCCTTCCCCCAAAATTCCCAACATCATGTGTCTTGTTCTAATATCCATCTGAGCAGGGTTTTTTTAAAAAAATAAATAAATAAATAAAAATGACAGTGTTTATGAGATTTAAGGAAGCAATTTGTTCCCTTAATCATAATCTAACATTACCCAAATCTACTAACAATCAAATCCATAACATACTTTAACTCCTTTTCAAAATAAATATTAACAAATTAAAAACCAATAATAATAATATAATTAAACAATAATACTAAAATAATATAAATTCAATCATATTAAACTATTAAAAATAATCTAAAATTTACTCATAAGCTAAATAATACTTTTTAGTCTCATATTTATTCTGAATATAATCTATCCATCTTCTCCAAATCGAAATATATCTTTCTTGTGAATAATCCTTCAAATAGGTGGAAATTTTTGCCATTTTTGCCATTTTTGCCATTTCTGCTAAATTAGACACCTTAAGTATCCATTCTTCCATAGTAGGCAAAGAATCTTTCTTCCAATATTGCCCCACCAGTAATCTTGCAGCTGTTATAAGATTCAACATCAAATTAATTTCTTTAACATCAAAATCTACAATAAACCCTAATAAGAATAATTGCTGCGTAAACTTTATCTTTCTCTTGAAAATCTTTTGAATGTTCCACCAAATCTTAATTCAAAAAGCTTTTATATTTCTACAGGTCCACCAAATATGAAAATAGGTAGCATCTAAGCTTCCACATCTCCAACATTTGGACTGTAAATTAGGATACATACAGGACAGCTTTTGAGGATCCAAATGCCACCTATAAAACATTTTATAAAAATTTTCTCTTAAATTTTGAGCTTGAGTAAATTTTACATTTCTAACCCAAATTGTCTCCCAAGTGTCCAATAGAATCGGCTCTTGAATATTTTGAGCCCATTTTATCATACAATCTTTAATTAACTCTGTTTCAGAATCCAATTCAATTAAAACATTATAAATTCTCTTTATATGGGCTCATGTTTGATCTTTAATCTGTTTTATCAAATTCACATCATCTAAAATTATACCAACCTTTTGATCTAAACTCCACCTAACTAACAATTGATTGTACTGAAACCAAGAATGTACAATATTTTCTTGCTTCAATTCAGCTAAAGATTTTAATTGCCAATCCTTCCCTACCAAACTAAGTAATTCCTTATAAGAAATCCTATCCAAATTCACTCCCCTAGATACCCCCTCTATCGTGTGTCCAGGAATCCCCCAAATTGGAATTTTCTAATTTAACCTATAATAATACTTCTTCCAGACACGTAATAAAGCGTATCTTAAAATATGAGATTTAAAAACCTGATCTACTTTTTTATTATAAATTAAATATGCATGCCATCCATATAATAAATCCCATCCCTCAAGAAAAAGTATATTTTTATTTGTTAAGTTAAGCCAATCACTAATCAATGTTAAAGTCACCGCATCATAATACAATTTTAAATTAGGCGCCTTAAATCCTCCTCTTTCCCGTATAATCTTAAACTTAACTCTTGGTTTTTTCCCTGCCCAAATAAACTTGTTAATGCCCTTCTGCCATTCCTCCAAGTTGGCATCTAAAAATATGGAACGCTTCACGAATTTGTGTGTCATCCTTGCACAGAGGCCATGCTCATCTTCTCTGTATCGTTCCAATTTTAGTATATGTGCTGCCAAAGCGAGCACTTTCCAAGCATATTTTGATTCAGTTATATAACAATTGAGTTACACAATTAAAATAAATAAATACTTAAATGTATTCAACAATCATGCAGCAGAATTTCTTGGAGAGTGAAGACTTTGTCCATTTATTTTACCATCTAATTAAAAATAATTTAAAGAATTGGATTTTTAGCATAAAATACATGGTTGGATTTCACCATAACATGTTTAGCATAAAGTAAAATATATGCCACTAATTTGAGTAGTTTTAGTCTGCCAAAAGATCTGTAAACATAACACAGATGCGTGAATTATAAATTCAGCTATCTCAGTTTCATGGATTTGCAAATCCTTTCAAAATCAAGACATTTCAACATTGAAATATTCCACGGGCTGCTTGGACCAGGTCTAGAGTTTAGCTGAACTATGCGACAAAATATAATTTTGTTTAATATTCTACCATTATTACACATGATGATGTAATAGTTTAAGTGTGAAATGAACCCTCTTATCTGGGATAAATTTGACCCTGAGGATATGGACAGTGTTTTCATGACTATGAGCCTGGCCAACTGTTTTCTGGAGTCCTGGTTAATTAAGACCCTTGGAGGTGGGTGGGACCAAATGGTTATTAATGTCTCCTTACGGGATATGATACTGTCTGCTTTGAAGGAGGAAATGGTGCACTTTATTCTTAAAAGGTTATCCTTGTACCCAATCATACTATGCAACTTTTTCCCATCACTAACCTTCATTTTTTGGGGAAGGTTGTTGAAAGTGTGATTGTCACCCACTTCATCCAGTGCCCTGGATGAAGCCATTTACCTGGAGCATTTGAACTATCATTCGCCCACTATTTCAAAACTCTGGGATATAATCCATCTAATTAACTGGAGTTTGCTGCATGGCATCCCAGTGGATGATTAAGGTGATGATTTTTCTTTTTCTTTGATCATTGAACTGTTTGTTGTTATTGTTTTATTATTGTTTTATACTTATAGGTTTTACTGTTGCTTGAGCTGCACATTGTTGTTTAATATGGGCAACCATATAAATCTTATGAATAAAAAAAATGCTCAAATACACACAAACACAAATACACAAAACCATCTGAAATTGCCTCAAACTGCAAGATGTGCAGCAAATAAATAAATAAATAAATAAATAATGGCTATGTATTAATAATTATTGCCTTTTCAATGAGCAGAGGAAAAACCCTTTTGATTTTCCACATTAGACAATACATTATATTATTTTTCCCCATGTAGATCCTATTAAAGCCCCTCTTGATATGGGGTTGGCTTCTCTCACAACATGAAAAACAAATTAAAGACACTTTAGATGTTATTATGGTGATTGAGAAAAGAGGGGAAGCAAAATATTATTATTTTTATTTATTTAACAATATGTATGTTTGGTTGGTGAATATGTATTTCCAGATAGTATTAATTGCGTCTATAAATTCCAGAAGGAATGAAGGAACAGATCTTGTACCAAAGTTGAATCACACACTCTTAGCATGAAACTTGAAAAGACTAAAGTCTTTAAAACTTCTCCTTTTTTTATAAGAAAAAAAGCAATCTGATGGACAAAGTAATTTTGTATGTTTGTTTTATTATCTTTTCACAAAGGCTTTTTGCAGAATTAGTGATAAGAATAATGAAGAAACTGATGGAAAGCCTTTCTTTAAATAATCATTCAATCAAATCTAATCCTTTTCCTTTTTTCTTTTCCTTCTCCTTTTGTTTAATTTTGTAACGGATACATAAAGAGAAGAATGAACATTGGTAGTCTGTTGAAAATCTTTTAATCCTTTATGAAGGACGTCCATTCAGGTTTTTTTTTTAAAAAAAAAAAACATTGAAACTTTAAAAGGTACTTGAAATTTTTATTTCTTCAATTTATTACAGCTTATGCCACTATATAGTCTTACTTGGCTACTCTCAGAATCATATACCACATCATATTAGCACTTGGGGAGAGGGGAACAAACCCAAGAACTTGGAAGTTAAATATAATAAAAAAAATATTCTTGAAAAAAGAAGTAATAAATCTATTCTTTGTTATTGCAAAAAAGGGAAAAATACAAAAATACATAAAATCATCTATAAAATTCTAACACTTCAAAAATAATAAAACAGAGAACTGAAAAATGAAGAGAAGTATAGCTAAACAAAACAGAATGGATTGCCCAAACTTTAATTCCTTGTGCCTCAACTTTCTAAAATCTCTCTATTTTGACATTCTGAGGAATGTCATAGATAATATATTTCAACATTTTCCTTAAGATAAGTTTCTTTAGACATGATCTATAAGTTTAACTCATTTAACAAATGCATAAATGAGGATACAAATAATATTCCCAGTAAATACTGGTTACTATATTAATGAACTGAAACATTATAGCAACCAACAAAATGCATTGTCAAAATGAGAAAGGCAGTACTTAACAATTACATTGTATGAAACATATGAAAATCAGAACACACATTATAATACAATTCTCAATATGGAACTACAGTAAACTGTAATCCTTAAATTAACTTGTATTTTTAACTGAAGTCTGTGTTTATTTGATTTACTACATAATTAAATGTGTTTTGTATTTTTGACAGATTCTATGTTTTCTGAATCCTCTGGGCTGGGAAATCAAACTGGAATAACAGAGTTTATCCTCTTGGGACTCTCCAATAATCCACAGATACAAGATTTTCTCCTATTTGTGTTTATGATAATTTTTTTGGTCACCATTCTAGGAAATATAGCTATTATATTAGTGATCAGTTCTGAGCATCACCTTCAGATGCCCATGTTCCTCTTACTCAGATATTTAGCTTTTGTTGACATCTGCTATATCTCAGTCACTGTCCCCAAGATGTTGGCAAACTTCATAATGAAGCAGAAAACCATATCCTGGGAAGGATGTATTTCACAGATCTTCTTCCTTTTGCAAATAGCTTGTACAGAAAGTTTTATTCTCTCAGCAATGGGTTATGACCGATATGTGGCTATATGTGACCCCCTGAAGTACAGCAGATACTTGACAAGAGAGATGTGTAATAAAATGGTGGGCACAGCTTGGCTCCTGGGATTCTTTTTTTCTATAGTGAATGTGCTACCTTTGCTAAATCTCCATTTTTGCAACAACAATATAATCAGACACTATACTTGTGAGATTCCTTCCCTCTTGACCTTGTCTTGTACAGATACTCTCACTAATTACATCATTCTTCTTATATCTGTGTTAGCAGTTAGTCTTAGTTCATTTCTTATCATCCTAATCTCTTACATTTATATTATTTCTACCATCTTGAAAATTAATTCAGCAGAAAGTAGGCAAAAAGCTTTCTCTACATGCAGTTCCCATCTCATTGTGGTGTGCTTGTGTTACTTTTCAGGTATCATTTGTTACATGAAGCCAAGTCCAAAATCCCTCATGGATCTGGACAACATATTGTCTATTCAGTATAGTGTTTTAACTCCTATGTTAAATCCCATCATATATAGCCTGAAAAACAAAGAGATCTTATCTGGTGCAGAGAAACTATTTAGAAATCATAGGCCCAATGTTTAACCACAAAACAACACCTACAGTTAATGATATAGCAGGGGTGTGGAATGTTCTTTCCCCCCAAATTCCCAACATCTTGTGTCTTGCTCTAATATCTATCTAAGCAGGTTTTTTTTAAAAAATGACAATGAAAGTATCTATGAGATTTAATTTTGTAATTTCTTTCCTCTCCTACTGTATTTCTCTTTCCCTCTCTCACCCTTTCTCGCTCTTTTCAATTATAGCATATAGTTTAAATTGATTACTCACTACAAAATATTTATTTCTAAACATATTTTGATTTAGTTGTACAACAACTGAGCTGCAAGATTAAAAAAAATAAATGATCCAATGTATTGTCCCAAAGTCAACTGAATCCTGAAAAAAATAGCTTTGGAAATTGTATCATTCTTAGAGTTTAGTTACTGCTATATATCAGAATATTTGCAAGACTGGAACAAAATAAATTATTATAATCTACTGGGTTATACAGAAAGTAGGAAAGCAGTATGTAAGATTCTTCATTATACTGATCTTCAATTAGGTACCAGGATATGATCTTACGATACAATTTAAAGAATGGAGAAGTGCAAATATGCGAAATAATCAAACTATATATTGTCAAAATAAGGTTGGTTGTTACTTTATTAAATGACAATTAAACTATTGGAATCTTGTTCATTTGAAATAGCTCCATTCTGTTAAGAAAGTTGTTTACAATTTTTGAGATCAAATACTTTTATTTTGTTTTTTGACCATCTTTAAAGAAATAACTTCATATAACAATTTAGTATTGAGAAAAAGTTATATGACAATAAAATGACATCTCTAATCAAGTTTTTGCATATTTGTATACCCGTAAATGCCGGCGTATAAGACGACTTCCGCGAGCGCTGAAATCAATGCCAAAGATGAGGGTCGTCTTATACGCCGAGTTGTCTTATACGCCGGAAATACTGGTAGTTTCCGGCGTATAAGACGACGTTCTAGGAATGCGGCCCGGCTATAAAGACGGGGGTCGTCTTATACGCCGGGTCGCCTTGTACGCCGGCATTTACGGTAATTGGTGAAGGTATTTGGCCATTTGATATGTGGGTGTAAAATTAACATCCCTTCAAAAATAATGAACAACAAACTTTGAGATGATTTGGGAGATCAAAACATGTCTTGGGATATCATAGATAGGACTTTCTGCACATTGTTTTTCAAATTATGAAAAAGAAAATGTTTAGTACTCTGATCAACTCTTTTACTATAAACAGTAACAAAATTCTTTTCATTTTTATTCCACGTATGCTGAATTAGAAAGCTTCCAAATTCTTCCATTTTAAGAGTTTTTTTCCTCCTAGTTTTGCCATTGGCAGAAGGGAAGCAGGATATATTGATGGGGAAAGGGTGAGGAATGCTCCATATTCTCTTATAGCAGTGGTCAAATAGCAGAGTTTCTTGGAGATTGCAGGTCTTTGGCCATTGAATTTAAGAAAAAATAATATAATTTCTTAACATAATTATTAGGGAATAAGGAAAGTCAGTTCGGTGCCATAGTTAAGGTACTGGGCTAATAACTGGGAGACTTTTGTCAGTCATCCCAGGAAGGAGGAAATTTTTTTTTTTCAAATTTAGAAATTGCCTATGTCCTTCTCAGAAGAACGATGACCAGCGTACAAATAAAATATTGAGAACATAAAAACTGAATATAAAAATATAACAGACTGAAGGATAATTAAAATTCAACATTAAAGGCAAGGTAGCTTTCAGGGCACTAAGAAGATGTACAAACTGCATCCTTCTCTGTGAGGCTCCCTATGAGCCTCTGAGATCAATGGCAAACTACTCTCAAAATCTGGCCAAAAATCCTGCAGGGGTTTGTCTAGGCAGTCATCAGATGTCAACACATACTCTCACACATAAAGTCCATGTAAACACAGAGTATATTTTTAAGAAGAAAAAAAAAACATGGTCAGAAGTTCACGATCAATAGGCTCAGGATAAACCCAAAGCTATTTTACTACCTTTTTAAAAAGCAGATACTTTTAGATCACTTAAGTATCAGATCCGATCTATTTTTAATTGGACAAAGAATGTGTAACTATAACACAGATACATGAATTGGAATAAATATTTTACCTATCAGTACCACAAGGATTTGCAATTTTTCTTTTCCAAATCAAGATATTTCAAGACTGAAACCTTCTGTGGGCTGTTGGGGTCAATATAGAGCTCAGCTGAACTATGGGGCAAAATAACTTTGGAATAATGGCAGGTGACACACTAACATAGATAAAGATCTTTATTTAATATTATGCTATTATTATGCATAATGATGTGACAGATTAAACGTGAGGTGTATATAAAAGGAACTTTAAAAAAAGTAATAGTATTGCTTTATTAAATTCCCAGAAGATATCTTCAACTGGTCCCCAACTGGCTCATACTGGTTCAAAAAGATTAAATAGACTAAAGTGAAGAGTCTCATCATCTCAGTTCTTCCTATGGTGTTGTTACTCATTGAAAAGACAATACTATTTTTGAAGAATCTGGCTACTATGAATGAGAATGCTTTGCCCATCCCCCCTTTCTGTTATTTATTTATTTATTGTTTGTTTGTTTGTTTTGTTTGTTTATTTGTTTAACATATTTCTATGGCCACCCAACTCATACATAGTGACTCCAGGGAAATTTACACCATTACAATTCCACAATATCACATTGTGATGGGCTTATTTTACATTACATTACATTAGATATATATTACATTACATTTCTTTTTATATATGAAGCCAAATTCAGAATTGCTCATTAATCTGGACAAAGTGATTTCCATTCAATATTTTTACTCCCTTTTTAAATCTGATCATATATAGCCTGAACAACTAAGACATCAAATGTGCCCTGGTGAAATTGTTGGGAAAATGTAATCCCATTGTTTGATCTTGAAAGAATATCCACAGCTATTTATCTGTTTTATACTGGTAATCCCTGAGTTATGAACATTCCTTTAGTGAATGTTTAAAGTTATGTGATAAGTGCCCCTAGTGTTTACGAGCAAGTCTTGAAATTACAAATGTTGCCAAACCATGGCAGTCATTCACCTTTACAAATGACCACTCTGATGCTGCAACATTCACCCTGACTATTCCCTCCCTTTCCTGCCCTGGTCTCCCAAGGCACTAGGCCTGTGGATACTCACTTTGCAAAGATCAAGAGATCCCTTTCTTGACAGTTTTGCTGTTTCCTTTTGTACATTCACAGAGAATGGAGGTTTAAAGTACTGCAAGATCATGCAAGTTCAGTGGTGCGAGATCTCACACTACTGATCTTACATGATCTCACAGTACTTTAGGCCTCTGTTCTCTGCAAATGGAGGCCTGGTGGAGATATGCAGCAAAAGGTTTGCAAATACAGGCAAGGGCTAAAACCTCAAAGCCTTTCCTCCGTTTGCAAAGCCTTTTGCAATGTTTGCAAACAGCCTTTCCTGATGGAGGCCTTGTCCATGCTACTGCCACCTGGAATGGAGGCTTCTGTGGGCCTCTGGAGGTCCATTCTTGGCATTGGAGGCCTCATCCCGGCCTCCATTAATCAAATGGAGGCTGGGGACAGTGGCCACATGTCTCCAGAGTTGTGGGGAAGCATAAGATAGGCACCACAAATACCACAAGAGTTCAGGCACCCATTCTCTGCAAAAAAGAATGGGTTCCTGAATTCACACAATATTATGACACACATGAGTTTCCATTGACTCTCCTCTTCCTCAAAAGCAGGAATTGCAGCAGAAAGGAGACAGATCTTTTCAAGGTAAGTGATTCTGACACAGCAGGAATGGAGGGAGAAGCATGAGGTATCTTAGTGGGTCGAGGAGACCTTGAGGGCCTGTTCTATTACCATGGCCTTCCCCATCCGGAGATACCTCATGTGCACTTAACAAACAGCACATTTGCCCATGCATTTGATTAGCAAATGTGTGGGTGAAAGCAGGGAGTGATCTCATTCAAGGTAAGAGATTTACTGCAAGAAATTTTCGAGTTACGAATGGAATGGGAAGCTTTCATTACATTCATAACTTGAGGACTACCTGTATTCCTTTAGCTAGAAACATAGCAACCCAATACTTAAGTGTTTAATAAAACAACAGTAACAGGTGGTTTCTATTTTTTCCAAAGCTCCTCACATTGGAAGTGGAGTTTTCCTTCCAATATATCAGGTGAAAATGATCCTGCTTGGGACATTATGGAAAGATCTTGCTCTCTAAAAAAAGGTTATAATAATGGAAAGAAAAGGAAAGGGAAGAGGATGATCAGCAGCAAGGTGGATGGACTCAGTCATGGTGGCAATGAGTGCACCAGTAGAAGGTCTGAAGTGCTACGGTCACATCATTACAGAAAAAAAAAATCTATGTGGTTGCTAGGAATCAGCAATGATTTGATAATCAATCAGACAACGAAGATATATGGACCTTTCATGTTGCTTTGTTGATATAATTTAATTATACCATAACATATTCAAAGAAAGCCATCTTCCTTTTACATTCTCTCTAAATGTGCACCCACACACAACTAGGTTACCTAATTTCAATACTTGTTTTTTTAAAAAATGGCGTGAGGGTGTATGCTGACATTTAAATAGCTTTTAAACAATTTATTTCTGACAGTATATTTCTCTAAATATATTATATTTGGAAACATTCAATGAAAATTTATTTTCCAAAATTAAATTAAACCAGTATATTTATTTATATAAGAATTGATCTACAACATTAAAACATTAAAACAAATGGAGTATCCAATATATTCCATACTATATGTGCATCTCTTTGTGATGGTGGAATTTGTCAATTCATATCAGAATTTGAAACAACTATATTTTGTTTGCAGAACCCATTGGTTTGCTTTCATCAAAGACAATCTGAATATTAAATTAGAAGATAAACATTGCTTAGAGATTTGGGGCAGCTGGGTGACCTTGAGCCAATCTACTTCACACTCTCTCAATCCTAAGGCAATGGCAAGCCTGTCCAGGTGAGATCCAGAAACTGAGATATAAACAATGTTTATCATAGACTGATTATTTAAATAAATGAAAATATCACATAACACTCTCTCTCTCTCTCTCTCTCTCTCTCTCTCTCTCTCTCTCTCTCTCTCTCTCTCTCTCCCTCCCTCCCTCCCTCCCTCCCTCCTTCCCTCCTTTACATTGATTTTCAGCTGTGGGTAAAATTCTGACAATGGAAAGGACATGAGATATGTAAAGCTTCTGATATTGCAGAAACTTTGTAAGTTGGGTCTTGATTTTACTTTATTCACTGAAATTTTATCTGTTTGTTTATTTATTTGGGTTTTTAAAAATGGCAAAGTTCTCTAATGTTTTAGAGTTTTTGTGAGGTCTTTAGCACTATGTATATTTTAGATTTTTTAAAATGTATTATATTATTATGAATAAATGAGTTCTATTTTTCTAAGCCATCAAATAGAACTGGAGTTTGTGCATATAAATTTATAACTAAATAAGTAAACAAATAAATAATACTTTTTAAAAAATTTCTTACCTTAAAATGGATGTGAATTGTTTTGAACATTTGGAGTTGATTTGAATAAATGTAGAAAATATTAACTCCTTTTTCTCTATAGTTCTCTCTCTTTTCTGTACAATTATCTGTCTTTTCTGTACCTTTCCT